CTCGGATTGCAGTAAGAAGAAAGACATGTAAAGATTTGTATTATCCAGTGTGAAGAGTCATGAGAAATGTGTGAACGCCATGTGGCAGAGCACAGGGACAAGAAGGGCTGACTCCGCTTGGAGTAGTCTAGAGAAAGAGAAACATCAGAGAGGGTGAAATCTGAGTTTGGCCCTGAGTTCATGAAAGACCTCCAGCTGGCAAAGGAGGAGCAAAGCATAACAAAAACAGGGAAAAACATGTGTGAGGCCAGAGAGTTGTTAAAGATAATGGCAGGCTCAGAGAGCAGTGAGAAGTTCACTGCAGTCTTTAAAACATAAAAGCCTCGCAGAGAGTTAGCTGCACTGGCTCACAGCTACTGCCCTCTGTCTCACCCCCTCTCCTCAGTCATGCTGCTCGAAAATGTCGCCTCCACTCGTTCCCCATTTCCTCACCTCCCACACGCTCAGCCCGCTGCAATCTGGTTGCTTTTACCACGATCAGTAAATACCTCCTTGTTCTCCATCCAATGACACATTCGAATCTTTTTCTTGGCTTTACTACAATATGAGACACTTGTTCTCTTCCTACTTTTGCTATACCCTCCTGCATTGGCATTAAAACCACATTCTCCTGGTGTTGTGGGAAACCCTTGGGAAAATCCTCATCATGGGATCTGAGACCTTCTGTGTCTGCCAACAATCTAAATGCAGTGATGTCTCCTGGAAAGTGAATGGGGCTGACACCAATGGGTAATAGTTATTATCTTTAATAAAGGCATAGAAGTTCAGGGTACCCCTCCCAAGAAGACAGGTTCCACCCTGGCAACCTGGGAAAAGGACATGAAACATCTGCAATTTATATATATTTTAATTAAAATACCACTTCATGGTCAGAAGACATAGCTGTTTGGTATTTATGCAAAAATAATGAGAGGATGGTAGGGAATGCCTCTTTTCTGAATAAGTGCTGTGACTGGATGTTCTCAGTTCCCACAAAATGGAAAATGATAGAGTCAAACTAGGTCAACTACCTTTATTTCCCCTCTGCTGTGGAACTGTTACCCCATTCCCTAGGAGAGGTTTTTGCTGTGGGTGAAACCTATGGGTTTGTTTCATTATCAAACAAAACATATCCTACCTTGGCTGAGGGCTGTAAGCGAGAAAGATACCTGACTATTGCACATCATCATTGCATCTGATAAGGAATAAAAGGCAGTGGACTCTGACGTTTGTTCAAATCCCCTTTTATTTTAACAGACATCCACGGTTGTTCCTTCTCAGTCTCCTAGGCAGTCTTTTTCAACCTTTCGTTTTCTAAAGTTTCTGTGAAAGCCAGAGGACCATTTCATACTAACCTGTTTTTCCTACACCAGTTTATGGATGTGCCTGTGGTCACGACTACCATCACATGGTTCTCCAAACCATCTGCATTCTATGCTCCCCTCCTGAGCTCCTGAGCCATGCCTGCTAGCTAGACATTTCCCACTAAATTACTCACAGCAGCACAGTATGTCTGCAACATAAATACTTGGTCCCAAACACCAAAACAAAAGCACAGAAAACTTTCCTTGTTCCATATCCCAGTGAACGGTGCCACCATTTGCCCAATCCCCCAAGAATTCATCCTATACAAATAACTCATTCTGTTAAAATATAGACTGTCATGTCCTACAAGTGGCAATTATGACCTCACAGATTTTAGAAGGAGTCTAGGAAATAAAGGTTTTAATAAATAACTCCTAGTGATTCCAGTGCAAGTGTCTCTGAATATCATTTTGAAAAACAGTTTTAAAACTATAGATGGGTACTGAATAATAGTAGTTGAATGAGTGAATGTTCACCAAGTCTAATTACTATCCTTCCAAAATAGCAACAACCTTCCAATAATTAACTCCTGCATGACAGCTTTAAAGTGAGTAAACATCATGACTTTACCCTCAATGTATAGTATTTACCATATTTGTAGCAGGTTTCTTTAGCTACATTTGCAAATGAAAACTTCTGATAAAGGTTAACAGCTACATCCAGTGTCAATTTTTAACCCAATTATGGACATGTAATAACTCTCTAAACCTTCCTATAATGTTAATCACCAAAATGCATAATTTCCTAATAGCTTCAGGGAATCAGATACTGCACTGCACACTGTTTTCATAAGATAGAAAAGTATGAACCGATGAGATCAATATGATCAGTAAATTACCAAGATCACCACTTAATAGCTTGCTTAATAGCTTAATGATAAACTCTGTTCAGAATTTGCCCCTCATGACTTCAAAGTCTCCATTGTTTAAGTTTGAGCCTTAACACTTAGCATTGCAAGAGTTAGCCATTTGAGCTGCAGTTCTTAGCCTAGGTTTTGGTGGAAAAGTTGGTGGCTATACCACTTATACCTTAAGAATACACACACACACACACACACACACACACACACACAGAAAGTGTTTACTAATATGGGAAAAGTCATCCTTATACAAACCAAGGAGAAAAATTAATGAGAAGTGAGTTATAAATTGCTAAAATGCACACGCCTACTACAGACTTTGTAAATTATCAGCTACTAAGCACATTCCAAAGTTTAATTATTACCTTCTTAATCATAATTTTTAAATGTTAAAATAAAAGATTTTCAACTTACTTGCAGGCACTGTAATTACAATCTTTCATTATGATTTAGACCTGCAACTTTCTTCGGACAATCGCACTGGTTAATAACTCTGAAGTGCAGTTCTTGTGTGAGCGTGCATGTGTGTGCTTGTTCTTTTGGTTCTTAATTCTTTTTGCTACACTGGTTTTTCCTCTCCGGCTAATGTCACAACAAATCTACTTCACTGACCTGAACAGGAAGACTTAGGGGTTTAGGGCTTGCTGCTCTGCGTGCACACTACGTGGAAATGAGTGTATCTGCTAAGACGCCAAAAGTGAAATTAAATTTATTCTTTACTTTTTGCCATTAATTAATTGCTTCTGTAAGCCACTTATGGCTGATAATGATATGGGTATACTTTCCCTCCACCTCATAATAAATTTCTTTCTAATTAAAGTGTCAGAGCCAAGTTTCATTTCTTGACCTGGCCATGTGTATTAATATAAATTCAAACTGTACCTCATTATCTTGCTCTCCAGCAAAAATAATATCAAGATGGAAAAATCACTCCATTTGATCATCAGAAAGACCAAATCATTTCTTTCCACAAAATATATACATGTTTTTAAATAAGTTCTATCTTCAGTAAGATATTTACAATATGAGTAAGTACGTACATTTGTACATGTCTGTGTTACATATTTATATAGATAACTCAGGTTTCATAGTCTCCAGCTTCATAATACTTCTCTAGATTTGGACAATCAACAAATAGTACCTGCTGAGTGATCAAACCATCTCTTGCTCTTACTCGAAATCCTCCCCATTTTACATATCATTATGTATCGATTATCAGTGTATTGACTCTCCAACTTACAGCTGCAAATCAACCCTCCTATTCCTCCTTTGAGAGGGACTCTGTAAACCAGGGATAGCAAACTTATTTTCCCCGGGGACCACATCAGCCTCGTGGTTGCATTCAAAGGGCCAAAATAATTTTAGGACTGTATAAAAGTAACTACTCCTTAACTGTTAAGGAGTTGAAATTACATTCAGCCCTTTGAAGGCAACCACGAGGCCTATGTGGCCCCTGGTGAAAATGAGTTTGACATTCCTGCTGTAAACATTGCTCTTTAGCCAGCTGGTGCAATGTTAGGCTTTGTCAATGGAGGGGACTGGAAGGAATTTCTGAGGTCATAGTAAGACAAGGGACTTTTCTTGCTGCTTTTCTTCATGGTCTGGGTGTATTGTCATTCCTTGGCATGGCTTCAAATAATTGGCATGCAGTGAGTTTTCGGTCACCAGGCAGGATATTCAGACAAATCAGTTCTGGCAAGTACCCCTAAATGTTTATCTTTTGTGTGTATGTGTGACAACATTGAAGTTCTACTCTTTTCTCACATTTCAATTATACATTACAGTGTTATCAACTAGAGTCACCGTGTTTTACATTAGACTCTCAGACCTTACTATTTTGTAGCTGTAGGGACAGGGAGAGGTGGGTATAGGGTGTATCCCTACTCCCAGACCATAGCAATGACATTTTTATGCACTGTTTCTATCAGTCTGATATTTTTATTCCATATATAAGTGCTGCATGTGGAATTTGTTTTTCTCTGTTAATTTACTTAGCATAATGTCCTTAAGGTCAAACCATCTTGTAGCAAATGGCAGGATTTTGTTATTCTCAGGGCTGAATAATATTCCACTGCGGTCATATGTACCATGCTTCCTATCTTGGCTGTCGTGAATAATGCTGCAGTGAACATGGGACTGCAGAGAGCTCTTTGAGAGCCTGTTTTCATTCTCTTTATATATACACCCAGCAGTGGGATTGCTGGATCATACAGATCAAATTTTAAATTTTCTATGGAACCTCCATAGTGTTTTCCACAGTGGCTGTACCACTTTATATCCCCACCAGCAGTGCACAAGGGTTGATTTTCTCCACATCCTCACCAATGCTTTTAGCTCTTGCCTTTTTGGTGATACAAGTTATGAAAGGAAGTACCCGTATTTTTCGACTATAAGGCACACTTTTTTTACCACATTTTTTGCTTCCAAATTTTTTTCCTATTTTCCTCCCCTAAAACCTAGGTGCATCTTATGGTGCGGACCCCAGATGCACCTAGGTTTTAGAGGAGGAAAATAGGGGGACAATTTTTGAAGCAAAAAATGTGGCAAAAAAGTGTGTCTCATACTCCGAAAAATATGGTAAAATATAAAGCACTAATCTGAACACCCAAGCCAGAATGGTGCACCACAGATACAAAAGAATTAATATCCAAAACTCTCCATATGATGGTTTAGCCTTAATAGGCATGGGACAGTCATATAATTCCATAACACTAAACATACTTGTTTATTCTAAAAAAATTACCCCTCTCAATTTTGCATTATGTGAAGTAAAAATACTATTTCATAAAAAACTCACCATATCTGTATCTGAGACAGGGCCAAAACTCGTCACGTAGATGTTAGTGAAGACTTCGGTAATACTGTCTGATATAAGAAAAAGAGATTGAATATAGATATTATATAATGAGAGGCACAGGAGAAAGAAGGGGTCAAGTTCATGGCATGGTTAGAAACTGTGTGATACTTGAGAATACTGTTTTTTACTTGCATTTTACTTCCAAAACCAAAAAGAAATTATATTATTCAATGATTCCATAGGTTCTCACAACCCTAAATGCAAAATGCCTACAAGCATTAGGACCCTATTACTTAGCAACTATTTCTAACTAGAGTATTCTGTTGTAAGCATATTTCTCAAAATTAAGAGTTTCTTAAAATCTATCTTATCTGAGCTAGTTTACAATACATTTCCCACCAGTACTGAAAATAAAATATAGTTAGTATGATTACTGTTTGGTATAGTCCTGAATTTAATTCTTAAACTAAATATTTCAGATGGTGTTTCAGGATGGTAGAGATTCAGTTTGTAGATTGTAAATTAGTGTGTCTTCCCAATAAAGTACAAACAGATTGTTAATCATTACCAATAAATATAATTCATATTAATATAAAAGATGTATTATTTAGTCACATAAAAATAAAAGAAAATAACACACATTAATCACAATGGATTGCTTCCAAACAAGCTTGCTTTTAAATGCATTTAAGAATGTCTAAAATACCAAGACTTAGAATTCATCTTAATTGGATTAAATTAGATTCTATAGTTATGTAACTTAACTGTAACACAATTAACTGGATTGCTCTAATGATTTATTTTCCTTTCTACTGAATTTATTAGGGTGACACTGGTTAACAAAATTATACAAGTTTCAGGTGCACAGTTCCACAACACATCTTCCATACACTGCATTGCGACCACCCCAAACCAAGTCTCCTTCCAACACCATTTACCCCCCTATACCCTCCTCCTCATCCCCCTGTCCACCTCTCCCTAGCAATCACCACACTGCTGTCCATGTCCATGACTTTTTTCTATATTTTTTCTTTTTTACTCAATCCCTCCACCCCCCTACCCAGCACCCCAACCCTATCCAAGACTGTCAGCCTGTTCCTGATCTATGAGTTTATCTCTGTTTTGCTTGATAGTTCATAAGGCAAATGGTGAGGGTGAGGAGAAGCTCAAACGAAAGATTTAAAAAGAAAAACCCTTTAGCTTTGGCTGGGTGACTTGGTTGGAGTGTCATCTTGTACAACAAAAGGTTGCAGGTTTGATCCCCAGTCAGGGCACATGTCTAGGTTGTGGGTTTGATCCCTGTTGAGGCACACATCAGAAGCAGCCTGCAGACCCTCTTTCTCTAGAACCAATAGATATATATCCTAGGGTACAGATTTTAAAAATCCTTTAAATATACTTACAGAAAAAATGAGTCATTAATTTCTACCATCGTGAACCGTCTTATTTGGTAACTGTCAAATTTTTAATTCTAGACAAATAGCATGAAATACTTTTAATATTATACTGGACATTAATTCATAACCAGGAAGGAGAAAGTAAACTAAGCTTGTGGTATTGTATCCGCCGATGCAAAACTAAAACATAAAAAAGGATTTGAAATAACTGAGTAGGCTTATTCAAAAGACTTTACATGTAATAATCTGCATAAGAAACCTATGAGATCGATTTTCCCTATCCCTCAGTGTGTGTGTACACTTAGGTATCGAGAAGTAAGGAGTTACACCCAATCACCCACACTTGGAAGCCAAGCAATCTTGCTCTTGAGCGCTCAGGGTAATCCAAATCGTAACATCACAGTCAACAATTAATTTGAAATAAAAGTGTTTTCTCATTAACTACATATTTCTGTTCACCACAATACTCTGCCAAAACAGAGTGATAGCGTTCTAAATAAATATAGTCATTCACTTTATTATTTTTATAAATTTTTCTATTGCAAAAACAATATGAAATTTTATTATAAAACTGGTTTGAAATATTAATATCCTTATAAAGTTAAGTCCCAGCTGCCACCTGCTCCAAAGACCTGCACAGGGTCAGCTTCAGGGACACGCACCTCGCGCCATGGCAGCGGGCCTTGTCCTCAAAAGTGCCCCAGGCTTGGTTTAATGTCCTGTTCTTGCTGTTTTAAAATTATTATTCATTTTTCTGAATAAGAGGTCCTGCGTTGTAATCTTGGACCGGGCCTCACGAATTAGACAGCCAGTCATGGACCTAAATTGCACATGGTGCTAGAAAGAAGTCAAGACAATGGGATCCAAGTTTGTTTGTTTTTTCCTTGTATTCACACAAAATCTATCATGCTATCACCTTTACTTGATAAACAATATAATACAATTTTAGTAATTACAGAGAGTGATTTAAAATTCTTCAGAGCAGAGAAGCTAAAATGTTAAGTTCATCTTCATCCCAACAGAAGCAAATGAAATTATCCTCCTTAGTCTGGAAGAGTAAAATTAAAAATGAGAGAAGACAAAAATGTGTGAATACATTCATGCTTAAGGCTATGAAAAACATTCACTATATGCCAAATGGAAATTAACGAGGAAGAGAGGGTATTATCAGTGCCTAGTGACTGCAGGGAAATGCCAGCTACATATCCAAAAAGTGAAAAATATGAATAGCATCAAAGCTCTAAGAAGTAAGAGCAGCCCATAAAGAGGCAGGAGATAGTTCTGAAAAGTTACCTTAATAATTGATTTCATGCTTTATTGACTTCATAATCATAGCTAAAGAATATATGTATTGGAAGAGATATTCTTCTGCTATGACAGTTCAGGAAAAGAAAAATTAGCAAGGCACACACTGACCACAAATACAATATGTACCTGAGACTGGGAGACTGATTCTGGGTATTGAGCCTTTGAGGATTTCCATTTAGATGGATGCCCAGAGTTGTAAACAATTAATAGACATCAGTGAAATATTTTAGTGTGATGACTAAAACTACTTGATGCATCTTAACACAACTTGCCAGGGTTCTTCTGTATTTGAAGTGCAATCTTCTATTTGGATTTTCATAAGGGAAAGGGAAAGCAGGAGAGGTGGGCTAAGATTATATGAATAGACATAGGTAATTTTTGGATTTTGTGACACTGATTTGTCAAAGTCAGCCCATAGTATCTTCTGGTTTTGTTTTCCCTGGCGGATGTAGGGCAGGGTCAAGCTGTGTCATTAATGCCTGTTACAGTTTTCTGACCCATGCGACAGACATATGTAACAAATAAACCAATAAATAACACTGACATTCTGGTGGCCACCCCAATCTCTGCATATTAGGTACCACCAGTTACTCCTCGAAATCTGGATCACTTCATGGACCCACCAAGCACTGTCCTGCCTCAGGCCTTTCACGTTGGCTTTTACTTCTTTTTCAATAGTAGTTAATTACTGCTCTGCCTTTGTGTCTGATTTAAATGTTCTTTCCTCAGAGCAGGGGTTCACTATTTCTCCCAAAGAATGCAAGTCCTCTTCTCCTATTTTCTCTCTCTGACACCAGTTTCCACCCCCATAGGGCATTTTAGAACTTGTCATTATTTTTATGCCTTAACACTTTTTTACTTGTTTTTTTTCCTTGTTTGTTTTGTTTTGCTTTGTTTTCCTTTGCTTTGTTCTTTGTTTGGTCTGTCTCTCCAAGTAGGATTTAAATTTGCTGGAGAACAGGACTGTGTCATTTCTGTTCTCTGTTCTATCACCCATGCTAGCACACCTGCCACATATTAGGTGCTTTATACTTGAATAAACAAATAATTTCTAATTATTGCACATACAGAATATATAACTTTTTCCAGTATATTCATCAACATAAAAAATGGCTGTGAATAGCTGCTGACAGTCATTCAGAAAGGTCCTGTTGTTTGTAAAGGCAGAGGCCGGGCTGCCCACCAACAGAGGGGGTTGAAAGCCTAGGGAACAGGTTCCCAGTGGAGAGACAGAGTCAAGCAAAGGGGGGAAATGTATTTACAGGGATCACTGTTGATGGAAACTGAAAGTTAACTGCTGAACGGTTAGAGGTTTTTAACAGAAACATCCACCATGTGTCACTTCAAAGAAATTACTTATCAGCTAAATTTTTGGCTTCAGAAATACCAGCGGCATAATATACAAAAGTAAGGTCTTCTATAGAGATTTTCTTAAAAGGCAAAACACCATGGGTTTACTAACAGGCACTTTAAGAGAAATAAGAAATGCATACGATAAACACAGAAGAATGCGTGCGATTGCCAGGTTCAGGGGAGAAAGGAGAAGAGCCCGCTGAGAGGTACACGGAGCTTCCCATACACTTCTAACATTTTTCTTCTTCTCAAATTGACGTTAATCAAATTTCAAAGTCTTAAGCCTCGATAAAACTGGTCATGGAATAAGTCATATTATTCTCTATACTTTTCTGAATGTTTGAAATACTTCATAGAAAAAACTAAATGACCCTGAAAGATATTCAAAGTGAATATATATATAATTTAATAATTTCAAGAAAGGTTGAAGTTAATTCATAGGGATTGTTTTTCACTGGGTAATACAGTATCCAATAACAAACTCATTTTTAAAGACCTTTAGCAAACGGTTAAGTCTGGCTCATGAACACAGTTAACATGTACAGATGTGCGGGGTTTTACTCTGTAAAGACAGAGGTTGCATTGAAAAAATCCTGAAAATGATGGCCTTTTTCTCCATGTATAGCAGCACAGCATTCACCAAAAATATTTGATATAGAGAAGGTTATGATATAGAAAGTTATGTCACATTTATAACAGTGGGAAAACCAAATCAGAGGAGACTGAAAAACTTGTATCCAGTTTGAAAGATGTTGCAATAGTTACTACAAAAGAGAAAAATAACAATGCAAGTACAAAAGTGTCGAAATCAAGGGGGTAGAGTTTTTTTCTATGATGGTATTATTAAAAGATGCTGAAATAGGCCCCTTTGTTTGACTATCAGAAAATCTTCAGAACCTAGAAATGAGCAGTTGCATGAAACAAATGAAAGAAGACTAGTAAGCAAATGGATGGTGAATACATGAAAAGAACAAGTGGAAAATATTTTCTTTACAATGGTTGTCAAAAAG